AAATAATAAAATAAATAAAGTTAGAGATTCACATAGTAAGGAGAGAGACTTTTTACACTAGAGGTTTTTGGTCAAATATTGTCTAAATCGTGCGTTTTAAAATACTATGATTCATCTTTCTTGAATTAACAAACATTTACATAATTGTTAATACCTCTCTCCTTTGATATTGTCCTAGTTTAAGAGTCAGATTCTATCCTCGACTTTCAATTTCTTCTAGATAATATTACAACGAGGAACTATATCCAAATTGAAAAATGCTACGATTCAATCTAAACTATAATTTTCTATCAACCCTAACATGTCAGCAGATTGATACTGTCACATTATCTCAACACCCGAAGCATTATGTGAAACAAATAGTTATCCTTTAGAAGGATAGTCGTTCCCTATGAAGAAACAACCGTTTCTTATAAAGAATAATTATTATTCTAAAGAATGTTTGTCCTTGAGGAATAACCAGGGGAACAACCTTGTTCTGAGGAACAACCATGGTTTTCCTTGGAGAACAACATTGTTCCTTGAGGAACAATCGTCTTATGTAAGAAATGATTGGTCGTTTCTTGATCTAATCAAAATCTTTATGCTTAGATGACGTATTACAATGCAAACTAACTAGTTAAAGAAGTTTGTGAGAATAGATTGTCATAACATTAATCATCCAAATTTAGCACACAATAGTAGACCTAAACCCCAATGGGTAAATACAATTAACTCTAATAGTAAATGAATTATTATTAATGGTGGAGACAATGGAGTATTTATATCTTTTTTTCTCAAAAAGATCTTTAATATATGAAGAACATACGTGTTAACCAATAAATATATGTCACATCCGAATGAATGATCTAAACGTGTCGACACACAGGATAAATGAACATTTTAAAACCCTAAGAAATTGAAAAGAAAGAGAGAGTGGGTAAAAGAGAGAGTGAAGATTCACACCCATTACTCCTAATTAGGCATCTTTGAATACAACAGAGTTAGAGCAGTGGTGATTGATTTGTACACATATAGCATGTGCTCTCTACTCTCCAGGCCCCACCTCTGGTCCCTATCAGAAAAATTTATCTCTAACGTTGGCTGAACGAATCTGACTTATCATAACTATCCTTTGTATAATAGCAGTGAACTGAAAGATACCCACCAACCAAAAGTTCAAGTTCTCAAAAATATTGGCACTGTTCCGTCTTTAATTTCTTTTGGGTATCGAGGATAAGGACATGGCTTTATATTACTATATTTCATGAACTGATGATGCTGCCAGGCACATTATTGTTAAATTTGTAGAAATCTGCGTACTTTTATCTGACTCTCTGATGACAAAGACAAATGAAGAAAAGGGTGAAAGCCATGCCAATTTTTGCCATCATCTTCGACAATGCTTATCCGTAGCATTTGAACCCCAATGTCAACTACACTGACAAACACAGCTAGAATCAATAAGAAGTTCATCTTATTTGTATGGTAATGGATGTGTAGATCTTATAATCAATAATCGCTTCAGGCCTTTAATATGAAAACGATATAACAACGTGCATTAATGCGTGTTGTTCAGCGTCTATTGTGCGAAAATTCATGTTTTATGAGGGTTTATAATGCTTATATAATTATTTATCCCCTTTTTCTTATAATTAATCTTCATTGATCCTGTTCTCCTTGAGTACAAGACAAAGAAATAATACTGTTAATTGTGATATTTTGTATGGTCAAATATTTTAAATGTCTGTTTGTGATTGTTACAACTTACAAGGTGAAATTTAAGTTAGATTTGTTTTTTTCGAAAATTTCAGACTGGTTTCAACAATGAACATACAAAAGCTTCTAACAACATTTGAATTATTGTCATCAATATTTAACTCATGCTTTTCAAAACCAATACTTGTTTGCATATTTCAACAACTTTCCAAGCACTGAAAAGCTCAAAACATTATCAAATTCAAAAGACTTCATTTGGCCAGCTGACAGCCATTTCTGCTTGCAAATTTCATGATTCTGACCCTCAAGACCCCATGTTTAGAAATCATCCTTTAATTTCCAATTGTTTTTCATCCAGCATCATCAAATTCAAATGGACCGCTCAAAATTTAAACACAATTGTTGCTTTTTAAATCTATGTGCACATAAACGTCAAGAGATGCAAAACTTATAAAACGAATACAATCACGTATAAATAATTAATGTGATTTATCAAATTCAAATTCTCAAGTGGGTTTATGAGTAAATTATTATAGCAAATTCTATAATTTTTTTTTTTCTCATTTCAGAGGGCAGTGCCATACTTCACAAGAACCAACACCAAGCTGCCTCTACATGCGTGCATGTGTTTGTTGGTGGTTTCGAGTCTCTACTGAAATTTTTTCTCCTTTAGTTAACTTACATAATAACGTACTCCACACTGATTGGCCTACTACATACTAAAATAGAGAAGAAAATTACAATTTGTGTTGTTCTTACACGACTCAGTAGTCAGTAGTCCCACTACACCGTCACAGATTCATTGTAACAGCTAGACAAAGAGGGCCCAAATGGATTTGGTGAATGAAGATGAAGAAGAGTCTTTCTTATTCATTGATAAGGGAAGAGCTTACCTTGGTGGGAGCCATTTTAGCTGACAATATCTATATCTATGTTATCTCATAAAAGAGAGAAAACGGACCCAAGACTTTTTGTAATTTGGGTCTGTTGTTACATACATGTTTGAAAAAACTTGAAATGACTGATGAATCTTCACAATCTGTGATGGCTTGTGGAGCCCTAGCTTTACAATTTTGATTTCATCAATCAGCTGCTCCCATTAGAAGCACTCTAATCTTTGCATTTCAGTATAAACATTTGCAAGATAATTGCATTTACCCCTTGAGCTCTAGGGCCAGTAGTTAAATCCTGCAGTGTTAAGTACTGGATATACCCCCTCGTTTAGCAGAGGTTGAAGGAGAAATAAGATAATTAGAGGACAAAATTGGGCTTTCATAAACCTCTGATGCATAACAATTATTATATTATTATTTATTATTTATTATTTTTTAATGACCGAAAGATATCTGAACTAGTTTGTGCACACTTCGATTAATTCCTAAAACCCATTAAACGTTCTACAAACTCAATGTTCCAAGTTAAGTTACAACTATAGTAGGGGACCCTAAGATAGTTTGAAACCAAGAAATCAATAAAGAAAGCAAACTTTTTGTATTGTCAAGCTAACTCTTTGGTGTTGATTTCTAACAATCGTTAGGCTAAAACTTTGGGGATGATTGCATTAACATTGCTTAAGCTATTTCTTATGAAACAAACTCAGGCGCTGATTTTAGAAGGATCTTATTCTTATGCAATTGATAACTTATTACGAGTGTTTATTTTTTTATACAAACTCACATTTTTGTCGAGTATCACTAAAAAGATAACACCCAATCTTTATATGAGAAATTTGTTAAAATTTTATCTTTTAACATTACCATGTTAATTGCTGTTATAGGGTATTTTTTTAAGATTAAGGGATGCAGTAACGTTACACAATACTAATGGTTGAGATAGGAGATGATTGTATATGCATCAATAAACAATATTAAAAGTGGATGTGGATTAATAATGAGGGACAAGTGCATGTGGATGAACATCATTCTTATTTTTGACTAAAGCTAGGTGGTTCTAGGCCTCTCATAGTTGGGCTTTGCTAAGATCATTCATATTTTACTTAATTAACCCCAATTAATCAGCATTGGGCCTGGCCCACTTTAAATCCTACGAAAACAATTCTTGCATTTGAGCCGAGTTTTCAAGTAAATTTATAATAAGACACGTGGCTAACCCAAATGGCATCTATGTGTTCTTTCAGGCCTTTTGCATGACCAATATTTGCGAAATTAATAAAGCCATTCTACATGGTGAGTTCTAAATTCTAATTAATATACACCAAGACCAAGCTATTCAAATTCATGACTGATTAATTATAGATTTCAAAATAGACTCCTGTTTATTTATAATACCACAAAATCTACCTCAATAATTACTCTCCCCAAGATTTATAATGTACTCAACAACAATATCAACAAAACATATTTACAAAGAAAAAATACATTAAATACCAAACACGTTTTTCACCTGTAATTCTTTTCTCTTTTTGAGTAAGAGGGGGGTGTTTGTCTAAAACCAGCTTATAAGTTCTAAAATCAAATTGACCTGTTTGTTTATAATTTTTTTGTGGCTTATAAATACTCTAACAAAGTATATTACCACATTACCCTTATTTAATTTTAAAATTCTATCATATAACCTAATTTTTATATTTCAAACAACTCACACTTTTATCATATTCATATAAATTTTTAATAAAATATTTGTCCATAAATTATTTGTTTATTTAATTCTAAAATTATATTATATTATAATAAGATCGAAATATATTTTAATAATATTATAGTAAAAAATTGAGTTAAGATAATTTATTATTTGATAAAATAATATAGTACCATTTTTAGTTATTTTAATAATAAAATGTACTTATCAGTCACTTATAAATACTTTAATCAAACACGTAACTGTTTAAATTTTAAATGTTTATAAACTCAAATTACCTTATAAGCACTAACTTATAAACTAATTTTTGTAAGCTCGGCTAAACAGGTTCTTATTGTGTTATAATCTAATTAGGATTATATAGATGAATTAACCTTATCCTCTACAAGGATTGCTATTATGTTTAGGATAATATTTATGTATTTTTTTTTTTTCCTAATTCTTGGCATTGTTAGAAAATTAATCGGAATGTGATTGATCTCAAACAATTAAGTCTCAAGCGCCTCAAGGGTATTCAGAAAAGATTAAAAACCTCCTTACAAATAATAGGGTTAATTTACAAATTATCATTAATATGTTATTATATTTACGTTAAACTAGCTTCATAAAAAAAATAATAATAATAATAATTAATATTAAACCTCAAAAGAAAAAACCATAATTAACCTACATATAATATATATCATAGCTACAATTGTGCTCAATTTTAGTTCACAAAGTTAAGAAGAGAAAACATGATGAATTACAATAAATCAAGACAAATAAACTTCTACGGAAGCGTTCTTCATAGAATTGCAAACAGGACAACTATGAAGCCGCAACTCGCATTCTTTGCAGAGGCAGAGATGGCGGCATGGCAATACTAGAACCGATACTTCACCACCTCCGCAACCCCTGCAAAATCTTTTGAACTCTTTCTTGTTCTTTTCTTTCCGATATTCTTTGCTTTCTGCAAGTTTTATCAATTGAGACTCGGCATCGTCATCTTCATCTTCTGTCTCTCCAAATCCTTCGATTGCAGGGTTAATATTTGCTGATTTATCATGATTATTATACAGAAGAAGCTGCACAAGACTCTGCCTTAAACTGAATACTGTGGATTCATAGTTCTTGGCCATGTTGAACCACATTTGATTTTCTTGAGTCATTTGTTTGATCTTCTCTTCTAAATCCGCATTCACTCTCTTCGCTTTCTCCAATTCTCTGTCTGTTTCTTCAAGCTTTCGCTGCACCCGTTGCTCCATTGTCCTCACCAGCGACCTCAATTGTATCTTTCGGCTCTCCTCCACCGCTTCTTGGAGCTTCTGATTCTGAATATGTGACAGATTTTTAATATTTATATATGTAAATGCTATAGAAAATGACAGAATATCAAGCTGACCTGAAGTTGAATAAATGCATCGAGTTGAAGATTTTGATCGCAGAAATAAGAATGGAGATCTGCATCAGGTTCAAAGAAGCCTGCAGGCATGGTGGTGATGCGCGAGAGTAGTGAGGATGATGTTAAATCACTTTCCGGTTCACTCAACACTTGATGTTGCAATTTCTGATATTCCTGCCACTGATTGCTCCTGCCATTTCACAAGTATAACAGTCATTATTTGTATAAACAAACCGGAAAATCATTACATTTAGAAGCACACTAGAGAGGAACCTGAAGGCAATTTGAGGAAGTTGAGAGTGCAAGGCCATTTGTGGTCTTAGAGAAGTGAACTAATAATTTTTCATCTTTTCGGATTTTTTCTGCTCTTTCACATGCCACATCAATACAAGTGAGAATGGTAAAGCTGCAGGAGCCCTAGTACATAGAGACCCCAACAGTAATTAACTAGCATGAATCTAACCCTATTCTGTTCATGTAGTTAGATAAATTAATTAATACATTCATCTTGGACTTTGATCATCATCAGATCAGGTAATTAATTATTATTTTTAAAGAGCGGTGGAGTATAATTAAGAAAGGTATGGGAATGACCAGAAAAGAATGAACAGAAAAAGCTATGGGAATGGCAATACATGAGTCAGCGATTAAAGAAGTTTAGCGGTTTGTTTAAGATTTTTGGGTATTTTACTCAAGAGGCTTACTTGACCGTTAACTTCAAGGTTTCGAAGAATTAGTTGAGGTATATGCAAGTTGGCCTAGACATCTTGGATATCAAAAATAATAATAATAAATAAATAAAGTTACATATTCACATAATTGTAAGGAGAGAAAGACTTTATTCACGAGGTTTTGGTCAAATATGGTCTAAACCGTGCGTTTTAAATACTGTGATTTATCTTTCTTGAATTTAACAAACATTTACATAATTGTTAATACCTCTCTCCTTTGATATTGTCCTAGTTTTAAGAGTCCAGATTCTATCCTCGACTTTCAATTTCTTCTAGATAATTATTACAACGAGGAACTATATCCAAATTGAAAAATGCTACGATTACAATCTAAACTTATAATTTTCTCTTACAACCCTAACATGTCAGCAGATTGATACTGTCACATTAATTCTCAACACCCGAAGCATTATGTGAAACAAATAGTTATTCCTTTAGAAGGAATAGTCGTTCCCTATGAAGAAACAACCGTTTCTTCATAAAGAATAATTATTCATTCATAAAGAATGTTTGTCCTTGAGGAATAACCATGGGGAACAACCTTGTTCCTTGAGGAACAACCATGGTTTTTCCTTGGAGAACAACATTGTTCCTTGAGGAACAATCGTTTCTTATGTAAGAAATGATTGGTCGTTTCTTTGATCTAATCAAAATCATTTTATGCCTTAGATGACGTATTACAATGCAAACTCAACTAGTTAAAGAAGTTTGTGAGAATAGATTGTTAACATAACATTACTCATCCAAATTTAGCACACAATAGTAGACCTAAACCCCAATGGGTAAATACAATTAACTCTAATAGTAAATGAATTATTTATTAATGGTGGAGACAATGGAGTATTTATATCTTTTTTTCTCAAAAAGATCTTTAATGTATCAAGAACATACGTGCTTAACCAATAAATATATGTCACATCCGAATGAATGATCTAAACGTGTCGACACACAGGATAAATGAACATTTTAAAACCCTAAGAAATTGAAAAGAAAGAGAGGAGTGGGTAAAAGAGAAAGTGAAGACTTCACACCCATTACTCATAATTAGGCATCTTTGAATACAATAGAGTTAGAGCAAGTTGGTGATTGATTTGTACACATATAGCATGTGCTCTCTACTCTCAAGGCTCCCACTTCTGGTCCCTATCAGAAAAAATTTATCTCTAACGTTGGCTGAACGAATCTGACTTATCATAACTATCCTTTTGTATATATAGCAGTGAACTGAAAGATACCCACCAACCAAAAGTTCAAGTTCTCATAAAATATTGGCACTGTTCCCGTCTTTAATTTCTTTTTGGGTATCGAGGATAAGGACATGGCTCTATATTACCGTATTTCATGAACTGATGATGCCTGCCAGGCACATTATTGTTAAATTTGTAGAAATCTGCGTACTTTTATCTGACTCTCTGATGACAAAGACAAATGAAGAAAAGGGTGAAAGCCAATTGCCAATTTTTACCATTCATCTTCGACAATGCTTATCCGTAGCATTTGATACCCCAATGTCAACCTACACTGACAAACACAGCTAGAATCAATAAAGAAGTTCATCTTATTTTGTATGGTAATGGATGTGTAGATCTTATAATCAATTAATCGCTTCAGGCCTTTAATATGAAAACGATATAACAACGTGCAATGCGTGTTGTGCAGCGTCTATTATTGTCGAAAATTCATCTTTTATGAGAGGTTTATAATGCTTATATAAATTATTTTACCCCCTTTTTCTTATAATTATATCTTCATTGATCCTGTTCTCCTTGAGTACAAGACAAAGAAATACTGTTAATTGTGATATTTTGTGTGGTCAAATGTTTTAAATGTCTGTTTGTGATTGTCGAAAATTTCAGACTGGTTTCAACAATGAACATACAAAAGCTGCTAACAACATTTGAATTATTGTCATCAATATTTAACTCATGCTTTTCAAAACCAATACTTGTTTGCATATTTCAACAACTTTCCAAGCCCATGAAAAGCTCAAAACATTATCAAATTCAAAAGGAGTTCTACCATTGAGACTTCATTTGGCCAGCTGACAGCCATTTTCTGCTTGCAAATTTCATGATTCTGACCCTCAAGACCCCATGCATCAACCCTTGCCTTGCTTTAAGAATCATTCTTTAATTTCCCAATTGTTTTTCATCCTAGCATCATCAAATTCAAATGGACCGCTCAAAATTTAAACACAATTGTTTGCTTTTTAAATCTTATGTGCACCTAAAACGTCAAGAGATGCAAAACTTATAAAACGAATACAATCACGTATAAATAATTAATGTAGATTTATCAAATTCAAATTCTCAAGTGGGTTTATGAGTAAATTATTATAGCAAAATTCTATTAATTTTTTTTTTTTTCTCATTTTCAAGAGGGCAGTGCCATACTTTCACAAGAACCAACACCAAGCTGCCTCTACATGCGTGCATGTGTTTGTTGGTGGTTTCTGAGTCTCCTACTGAAATTTTTTCTCCTTTAGTTAACTTACATAATAACGTACTCCACACTGATTGGCCTACTACATACTAAAATAGAAGAAAATTACAATTTGTGTTTGTTCATTTACACGACTCAGTAGTCAGTAGTCCCACTAACACCGTCACAGATTCATTGTAACAGCTAGACAAAAGAGGGCCCAAATGGATTTGGTGAATGAAGATTGAAGAAGAGTCTTTCTTATTCATTTGATAAAGGGAAGAGCTTTACCTTGGTGGGAGCCATTTTTAGCTGACAATATCTATTATCTATGTTATCTCATAAAAAGAGAGAAACGGACCCAAGACTTTTTGTAATTTGGGTCTGTTGTTACATAGATGTTTGAAAAAACTTGAACTGACTGATGAATCTTCACAATCTGTGATGGCTTGTGGAGCCCTAGCTTTACAATTTTGATTTCATCAATCAGCTGCTTCCCATTAGAAGCATCATTAATCTTTTGCATTTCAGTATAAACATTTGCAAGATAATTGCATTTACCCCTTGAGCTCCAGGGCCAGTGTGTAAATCCCGCAGTGTTAAGTACTGGATATACCCCCTCGTTTAGCAGAGGTTGAAGGAGAAATAAGATAATTAGAGGACAAAATTTGGGCTTTCATAAACCTCTGATTGCATTAACAATTATTATTATTATTATTTATTTATTTTTATTTTTTTTAATGACCGAAGATATCTGAACTAGTTTGTGCACACTTCGATTAATTCCTAAAACCCATTAAACGTTCTACAAACTCAATGTTCCAAGTTAAGTTACAACTATAGTAGGTGACCCTAAGATAGTTTGAACCCAAGAAATCAATAAAGAAAGCAAACTTTTTGTATTGTCAAGCTAACTCTTTGGTGTTGATTTCATTAACAATCGTTAGGCTAAACCTTTGGGGATGATTGCATTAACATTTGCTTAAGCTGATTTTCTTATGAAACAAACTCAGGCGCTGATTTTAGAAGGATCTTATTCTTATGCAATTTGATAACTTATTACGAGTGTTTTTTATTTTATTTTATACAAACATCACATTTTTGTCGAGTATCACTAAAAAGATAACACCAATCTTTATATGAGAAATTTGATTAAAATTTTATCTTTTAACATTACCATTGTAATTGCTGTTATAGGGTATTTTTTTAAGATTAAGGGATGCAGTAACGTTACACAGTACTGATGGATGAGATAAGGAGCGGTAGTGTATATGCATCAATTAAACAACATTAAAAGTGGATGTGGATTAATTAATTGAGGGACACGTGCATGAGCATGAAAGCTTTACATAAAACACTAATTGGAAGCAAACAAACATTAAGGGGCGTTTGGTCAGAAATGTTAGATTACAGGAATATTGATACTGGAAAGATAGATTACCTTGAAAGATTACTGGAAATCTTTAGAAAAATATGTTTGATTAGTTGGTGGGTATGTATATTAATATATTTGGTTATGGGGAATAAATTGGTGGGTATGCTATTTAAATTACTAAATTGTCCCCCTTTAAATATTAATATAAAATATTTTTATTATTAATTTTTGAATAATTTTTTAACCCCCAATATTTCAGATTTAGCTAAAACACCCTCGCTTATATAAAACTTTAATTTATGATGAAATCACCCCCCTCTGCCGCCGCCGCTGCCACGCGAACAACCGCCGGTGTCCCCGAAAGTCCCCGTGAGTACGTCACCGTGACCAAGAGGCTCCGCTATGACCGTTTTTGGCCATATTGATTGCTGAAACGGCCATATCGGGCCAGAAATGGCCAGATCTATTTTGGCCGGAAATGGCAGAATAGATTTGGCCATTTGACCATATCGAAGCCTCCCACATAATTTCTTCTTTTTTAGGGACTCTGGCGATTTTCCGGCAGTGGTCATGGTGGTTGGCCCACTATCGGCGGTGATGACTGGGTGGCTGTGGTGGTGGTGGCTTGGTGGCGTGGTGGTCTGTAAATTATTTTAAATATAAGGGCATTATTGTCCAAAATTTTAATTAAACAAGAGTAAAATGAAATAGGATATTAATGTAAATTTGTTTTAAAGTAGGAGTATTATTGTCCAAAATTTTATTAATAAGGGATAAAATTATAACAAAAAAAGATAACCTGGTAATCTCAGAAAATCTAAGAAAATGAAGGTAATCAGATACCTCTTTATTAC